GTTACCAGAAGTACCATATTTTCGAAAATAAATGGCGTCAGAGGTGGCTTGGATATGAAGATCGCTGTCATTTTTTATGGAAAATTAAGTACCTATGTGAGATTACCGGGGAATTACCGGGGAATTTCGCTATTGGCTATCGGCGGAAAAATTCTTGCAAAAATAATGTCAAACCGCCTGCACCCACATATAGAAAAAATTCTTCCAGAATCGCAAACGGGTTTTCGTACCAACCGCGGCACCGTCGATTCCATATTTTCCATCCGTCAACTACAGGAAAAAGTAAAAGAGCAGCAGTCTAAACTTTATGTTGCATTCATCGATCTAACAAAAGCCTTCGACTCTGTGAACAGAGATGCGCTTTGGGCAATTATGGAAAAGTTCGGTGTACCCAACAAATTTCTTACAGTGTGTAAAAACCTCCATAACAACAACAAGTCAAGAGTGTCACATCATGGATCACTGAGCGACCCATTCCTAACAAATACAGGAGTTAGGCAGGGATGTGTCTTAGCGCCTCTCCTATTCAACATATTCATGGCAGCGCTCTCCATTATAGTGGACAACAAACTGCAGGAGAGAGGATTAGGCATTAGATACAGATATGACGGCGGTCTGTTCAACATAAAAAGACTCAGGGCAAAAACACGTACAAAATTTATCACAGAACTTCAATACGCTGACGACTGCGCTCTAGTTGCAAACACGGTACAACAATTACAAGAAATGTTGAACACATATACCTGGGCATACGAGGCTTTGGGCCTTAAGCTGAACATCGGCAAAACTAAAATCATGTGCACTCCCCCGGAAGATCACAACAATGCTATAAAAATCGGAGAAGAACTATTCGAATATGTGGCGGAATTCAATTACCTTGGCAGTTTGATTTCGGAAAAGGCCAATATTGACTCTGAAATTCAGCACAGGATTAGTAGCGCCTCAAGAGCATTCTGGAAATTAAAAGACAGGGTTTTCTACAATCATGACTTGAGTACAAAAACAAAACTTGCAGTATACCGAGCAATTATAATCCCCACCATGATATATGGGAGCGAAACCTGGGTGCCTTACCGCCGACACATGAACGCATTGAACAAGTTGCAACAGAGACACCTTAGACAACTCTTAAGAGTCCGGTGGTTCCATCATGTCTCAAACGTATCGGTCCTTGAAAAATCTAACTGCGAGAGTATTGAAGTCATGGTCACAAAATCCCGCTTAAGATGGGCTGGTCACGTATGCAGAATGCAAGAAAACCGCATACCAAAATCTCTGCTTTACGGTGAGCTTGTGGACGGTAAGAGGAGGCCGGGTGGACAACTGAAAAGATACAAGGACATTTTCCACGAAAATTTAAAGGGAATTAACATGCAGAATGAGTGGGAAAAAGCAGCTCACAATAGAACTCAATGGAGAAGGGTTGTAAACTCAGTTAACAGCGGCAACCAAAAAGTAGAGAGGCAACAAAGCAATGAGATTTTTGAATGTCCGAAGTGCGGTAGGCAGATAACATCACGTATCGGGCTTTTCAGTCACAGAAAAGCTCATGAAAGAAAACGCCTTGCGTGACCATTTTCTTTATGTGTGTCGAATACTCGTCAGCGAGTAACGGCTGTATGTATGTGAGATTGTGATACATGTCGTAATATTGCCACGGCTACTTTATTTACTTTGACTTTTGACAAGTGTCAAATATATAAATTTATCTGTTTTTTTTTGTTTCTTCTATGATTATTATAAAAATAAATTCTAATTAAATGAAGTTATTAGCAAGTTCCTTGAATAAAAGCTGAAAATGTGAAGTTCTAATTAGTTAATATTTAGTCTTTATTTTTTGTGATATTCTACATACGGTCCATAAACTGATATTGAGCCCCAAACTTAATCAACTATATCATTTTGTATCTCTCTAACGTAAGTGCAACAGTAAAAGAGGTTCACCTTCATCTCTTTTCTGTGAAATAATTAAGTGGAGACGATACAAGTTCCTAACTGCAATAAAAATCACAGTATAGTTAAACAAAACACAGGTTTAATCTCAAATTTGTCAAAGGAGTCTAAGAGTAGAACTAAAAAAGGTCAGATTAGAAAAGCTTTTTCCTCCCTAGAACAAGAGGAGTTAAAATAAGTTTCCTATATACCGGGTGCGTCTCAAAAGTTGCTCACCCCTATAACGTTTTTATTTTCTCAGATAAAAGAATGATATTTGGTATGTTAGTGTATGACATAAATTAGGATTGATTGACATATTCAATTGTTTTCGGTCACTTCCAGTTTTGCCGGAAATGACTAAAACTTTTGCTTTGTAAATGTCACCCTCGGTATTGTTTTACTTTATTCGATAGAAAATGACACTCTGAATATAGAATAGAATGACATATAAGAATAGAATGACATATTATAGGTCAACTTTTGACCTTTTCGCATATGGTTTATTAATTATATATTTAAGTTAACATGCGCTTCATAACGACAATTTGACTCGAAATACCAAGTGTGTGGTATCAAATTGTTCGTAAAGAAATGCTTTTTCCAAATATACTAATGAGCCACCCTCGTTCCTTTTGAAATACGACTTTTATACAAGTTCCATACGATTTGGACATCTTTTAACCGGTCAGGACAAGACACTAAAACATTAGACGATCAAATCTATTTTCCAAGGCACCTTGCTAAGAATTAGTGTTTTTAATGCAACCATGGCCGTCTAGATTAAAATTTAAAATACAATTTGTTTTTGAGCGAATATGTCAAAAGTTGACATATGATACGAGTATCATATGTCATTCCATTCAGAGTGTCATTTTCTATCGAATAAAGTAAAAAAAAATACCGAGGGTGCCATTTAAAAATCAAAATTGTAGTCATTTCCGGTGAAACAGGAAGTGACCGAAATCAATTGAATACGTCTATCAATCCTAATTTATGTTATTTACTAACATAACAAATCTCGTTTTTTTGTCTGAAAAAATAAAAAAGTTATAGAGGTGTGCTAATTTTCAGACGCACCCGATTATACGATTTATGGAAAATTTCGACAGAAAAATGAGCGGATGACGTCCATAACAACAATTCATTACATACCTCATACCCCAAACCTACACTGATAAACAAATAGACTTGAACAAAAGTCGTCATCGTTCTTGAAAAAAAAAATTAGTGACAAGAGAATTTATTTTAGCGTAAAAGAAAATATGTTGCCTGAAGAAAAAATCTCTTAACACAAGAAAACTGGTTCTCTTGAAAAATTCAAAAATTTCTCTTGAATCTATTTTCATTCAACCAAGTGCAAGTTACTTTGTTTTAAGATAATAAGAAAAATACGCTAGGGAGTACTTCATTCAAGAAACATGGCCATTTTTCCAATAGCTAAATACTCTTTTGATGAAAAATAATGACACGCAAAGACGATGACGAAGGACGGTATACATATACAATCATTCGGCAGTCCGATTTCATAGGTTGCACATCATAGTACGCACGGGTTTTGTTGGTTGGAATTTTTCACTTGGAATTTTGCATAATTTGCTTTTTAAACGCATATCGTATAACAAATTAGTGATCGTTATTAACATGCATTTGTCATTTTTTATGGACAAATTTTAGAATATATGGATTATTTAAAGGAGTTTCTGAAAAAATGGAAATTAGAGCATTTATTTGCTATATTTGAAGGTAAGAGACATTTACCTAATGCACCTGTTTAGATAATGCATGCGTGACTATAGATAGAATAAGAATATAAGTGTCAATTCTTTTATGCAAATAATTACAAAAATTTTAGAATTTCAAGTCGTCGTATTAAAAAATTCAAAATGTGACCAAAGCTTATAATTTTAATAATTTATTTGCTTTACTTTGATTAATCGTGATGTAACATTTTTTTGTAATTTGTAGAGTGATTAACAACACCAAAATATACCAAGAAGTGAAGAAGCAGAAATAACTACTATTGAGGAAAATAATATCACTTTACTTACTACAGACCAGGAAAACCTAAATTTATCAGAAAATAATATACCTCGTAATATGCCTGTATATGATGTATAGAGTTCTCTTAGATCAAAATAAATTTTAGTTGAGTCGATAGTATTCGCTATTGGTTTAAGAAAAGTGTCTCTTTAATCAAGAAATGTCCCTTTTCAATCAAGAATTTTTGCATGAATCAAAGAGACTATTGTTCTTGTAGCAAGAACTTCTTTGCATATTCATTTTGGGTCAAGAGTGAAATACTTTGGACAGATAGATTCTTCTATTCTCTAAAGTAATTTTTTAAAGCTTATGAAAAGATAGTTAATGCTTTGGGCAAAGAAACGTCGTTGTTGGCCCTATTGAAAAGCGCCAATCTTTTGGGTCAAAGTCATATTCATTTCGACTGAGAGATTCTTTTTTTCAGAGTATGATTTTGTGAATGTCAAATTGTAGTTGCTGTTCATTACGATTTTGCCTCATTCCATTATAAAAATGCACTTTGAGGACACTAACCGTAAGTACCCTAACTTAATAGTGTAAATAGCACAACAAATTACATTTGACAATGATAAATTCATAGGTTGACTGTCTACCTAATATACTATTAGTACTATCTAGTACTATCTACTATATTGACATTTGCCTGTTTTTTTTTCGTATATAGTTTTTTTTTTATAATATTTTTAAGTAATTGCCACTAAAATTTTAACCAATTGTGCCAACTTTTGTTACATGAATTTCTTTGCAAAATAATATTAACTGTTTATTTAATTAAAATGGCTAAAAGACAGCTCAATCACTGTCAAGGGTTTTGTAGTTGGACATACGATGGCTATGTGTTGGAAAGATTATAGTAAACAAGTTGCCTGAAAAACTCTGTATATAAATTATTTCGTGCCTTTAAGAAGAATTCGAATAAAAGTACGAAATCAATGGCACCTAACGGTCCGGTTAGTTTCTAAAATAGCCATCCTAAATCTATCGAAATAAATTTGAAACTATCCCAGTATATTTTACTTACTTACATTGAATAAGTAAAGATATCCTTTTGCTGACTGATGGGGGGATGCCGTTCGACGCAATGCAGAGATACGTCCCCATATGTTCCCGTTTCACTTTGGTCAAATTGAGAGTTTCTCCGGTTATATTGGACACTGGAAAAAAGAAACAGACGGAAATGTTTATTGCACTACATGGAGCTGTAAGAGATAAATTACAAAATCTCTTTTGTGGACTTAAAATAAGATATTGTACGTTAGTTCTCTATTATGGGGTAAGATGGAGATTGATTTAAATAGATTTTTGTTTTCACAAAAAGTTGTCATTGTTATTACTATACATAGCGGGTGCATCTTAAAAGTGGCTCACCCCTATAACTTTTTTATTTTTCCAGATAAAAAATCGAAATTTTGTATGTTAGTATATGACATAAATTAGGATTGATTGACGTATTCAATTATTTTCAGCCGCTTCCTGTTTCACCGGAAATGACTACAACGTTTGATTTTTAAACGGCAACCTCGGTGTTTTTTACTTTGCTCGATAGAAAATGACACTCTGAATACAATGACATATCATATGTCAACTTTTGACATTCTCGCTTAAAACAAAATTGTATACTTATTAGATTTCAATTTAGAGTGCCGTGGCTGTGTTGGTAAAACGCTAATTTTTAATCAAGGAGCCTTGGAAAAATAGATTTGATCGTCTAATATTTTTAGTGTCTTGTCCGGGCCGGTTAAAAGACGCCCAAATCGTATTTTTAATCATATCTCAATTTTTTTCAAACGGATCGAGGGTAGCTCATTGGCATATTTGGAAAAAGTATTTTTACGAATAATTTGGTACCACACACTTGGTATTTCAAGTCAAATTGTTATTATGAATCGCATGTTGCGATTTCAAATAAACCATATTCGAAAATGTCAAAAGTTGACATATGATATGTCATTCTATTCATAATGTAATTCTCTATCGAATAAAGTAAAAAAATACAGAGGGTATCATTTAAAAATCAAAAGTTGTAGTCATTTCCGGTGAAACAGGAAGCGGCCATAAACAATTGAATACGTCAATCAATCCTAATTTATGTCACATACCAAATCTCGTTTTTTATCTGAAAAAATAGCAAAGTTATAGGGGTGAGCCATTTTTGAAACGCACCCGGTATAATATTTTTCCAAAATATATTTTTTCTTCAAATTTTGCACTACACCACTTAAAATAACTTTTACTCAATATAAGAATATATATAAATTACAACATATTTAAAATCAATTGGCAGTAAGAGCCTTTCAAAAATAAAGGGGTACAGAGTCTAAACATATTTACACCAAATCTATCAACTTCCTTTTTTAGCTTCGAAACCAGAGACCTCATTACCGTGGGTACCTGCTAAACTAACAAAAACTCTTCAGTTTTGAATGTAATAAATGTGGCATGTTTTGAATGTATTAAACTGTAAACCTTATTACCCCTGTTATTACTTATTTTTTTATTAAAGTTCAGGACATCATAGTTGGATTGTTTGTAATAGCACAGATTAGGTATCCTATAAGTATACAGATAACAATCTCGTCCCTAATTCGTGGTACGAAAATTGTTTTTTATGACGATGTGCAAACGAGTAAAATTTCCTGTGCGCAAAAATAAACTGGCGTAAAATAACAATAAACAGCGTAAGAGAGAGATATCGCTAAACCGAATAGCGTGCATGGACGTTAATAAGGCCAGGTGTTATTTCTTTTACGTAAGGTGGTATTAACTCTCTTCATTTATAGTTATCGGATCGAAAAGAATTCTGTTCGCGTCGCGTCCGCTATTTAAACTTAACCTAACTTTGAATTTAAAACTTTGAAATTGTTTTGTATACTAGGTATATTAAAACTAAAGGGCTAAAGTGCTTATTTCCAGTGCTTTATTGTTCAACGTCTGCCAGTGGGTTTAGGGCAACAAGCAACAAATTCTCTTAGAAGGGCTAAGTCGTCATCTGCTGAAAACCTCTTTATAGGTTCTTTAATATTGGTTCTACGATCGACCGATCTACCTGTGCTTACGTATGGCTTAGAGACTATGGCAGTTACTCGAAAAACAGCAGAACAACTACGAGTAGCACAAAGAGCCATGGAAAGAATCATGTTGGGAGTCACCATTAGGGAAAAAATACGGAATACCCACATACGTCAAAAAACAAAATTAATAGATGTCGTTAAAAGAGTGGCAAGTCTGAAGTGGCAATGGATAGGACATGTGGCAAGACAGGATCTAGACCGATGGCCCCAAAAAATAATCCTATGGAGACCTAGGGGAACAACAAGAAGTGTGGACCGACCAAAAAAGAGATGTGTCGATGACGTCAGGGCAGTGGCGGGAAGACAATGGATAAGATTGGCTAGACATCGCGAAGCATGGAAAAACCTAGAAGAGGCCTATATCCAACACTGGATGGAACCAGGCTGAGAAAGAAGAAGAAAGAAGAATATTGGAAAAAGTGGAATCCATATTGTGGGCCATATTTATTTAATTAAAACTAATCCCAGCTACTTAAATATCAAATTACCTAATAAAACTAAAGTAATAATTCAAAACAATTCAAATATAACCTAAAATAAAAGATCTCGCCAGACCGGCCCCGATTGTCAAATACCCGTACATGCCCATTTAAGCAATTTTTAAACGTTATTTCGAAATAGCGCTTGGTGTAATTGATCCGCAAATTACGTCAGGCGGTAACGTTATTAGCTGGTGTTGTTGCGTTAAAAATTGACTCGCACATATCGTAACTATGATAAGGTACGCGTAAATACTGCATGACGCTATTCGGTTTTCCGATATCTCTCTAAAAACTGTGCCGGTCAGGCGCTGTGCACAATTTTAGACGCCATAAGTGGGCGTGCTATGTGCGCAAACTAGTTATCTAACTAGTGTCCGATTCCGAAAATTGGAACCACGAAAAACAATAAAGAAAAAACAAAGTTTATAATCTGTATAATCTGTGGTAATAGTAATCATCAAGGTTTTCTCTGCCTTACCCTTTTACTTGAGAATTCCACTTCATTCATTTGATTTAACAAAACATATTTACAAATTTACCGTTTGATTTACATAATCTATTGTCAAATTTCCCAAATATTTCTTCTGTCGAGCGCCTCCGAGGTAAGTCACAATAAAAATATTTTTAATACAACGTAGGTTCCTTTATTTCATTTAAATTGCTTGTTATACAGTTGGCCAAAATATTACCTCTTCAACTTCGTTAAACGACCCTGGGTTTTTATACTACAAGGTGTAGCAATTAAATCAGGAATTTTATACCATATATGACAGATAGTAACTTTTTTATTATGAATTTTATAAGATGATTTTATAAAATAATTTTCACAAAATATTTTGGACGGATTTTTTAGTATTACAGTTTTACCAATTATCTTTAAAAATTTTCTCCAACCACCTCTTCTCCTCTTTTTAAATCTGCACTCCCCCTATATCGACTCCCCTCCATCCACCCCCCAACTTTCCATTTGCCAGCCTTTAGATCCCGATCCAATCGCCTTAAAACGTTCCCGAAACATCCGGAAACAAAATTTAATCACACACTCACAAGCTCATCGGGCATATCGGCCCCCAATAGGTACTTCGTTCCGTTCCCACATGTATACACTCTACCGCAAAATTGATTTCCAAGGGCTTTGGCTGAGGCTTTCCATTAACATATTCGCCCGTTTGGCCGCCGGCAAAGAAGTGTTTCAATATGGGGATTCCCCCAATTTAAAAGGTTTCATTGCGGTATCGAAATGGAGACCTCTAGCACTTATTTTCCTTTGTTTTCTGTCGTTTTTGTTCTAGCTTTAATGCGGGAATAGACTGTTTATTGCACAAGTAGTAAAGTAAAGGCAGTTTCTCTATATTTTTCTGTTTAAATTTATATTTTATATACACACCTGACATCTGCAGGGTTGTTCACCACATACGACACGGAGTATTGTAGCTAAACGATTAGATTTTTACAAATTGTAAGTTTTGGGTTTTTTGAAGGACTATTAGAGCTACAATTTAAAAATATTTTTACAAGATACATTTTTATATTAAGGTTAAAGTTAATATTAACTTAGCACAACCATCGATTTAACATACTTAGCGAAGAGCGGCAAATTTTTCGTTTTCACGGCAAATTTACGGCAATTATTCCACATAGTTTCATACATTTTCTTTAAAGTGCTTGTGCTAACTTAAAACATGTGAAAATTAAAGGTTATGATGTAGATGTTTGACTTTCAAAATAAAAATTTCTTTATATTCTCGTATTACTTTATTAAAGTGAAAGACCTACAAAAAATAAATAAATAAAAAGGTATGTTCTCTTTTTTCCTGACGAAGCCATCTAAGTTAAGTTAGGGTCGAAATAAATATATACCTTAGTTTGATTAGGTTAGGAAGGGTCTATGGGAAAAAAGGCAGGAAAATACTCGGAAAAATATAAAGATGGGTAAATAAAATAAAGAAGTTTATCGGAAAACGATAGCATTATCTAACTGAATGTTTCTATTTACTTTAAACAGAATTTCAAAGAATTTTCTATTATAAAGGATGATCTCATTAAAAAACATGTGCCTGCCAAAACCTTACTGCCAGTTCGCCTTAAAAAGGATATAATGCCGCGTGATCGAATAAAAACGGCGTCAGCGATGGGTATGAAATGAAGATCGCTGAATTTTATATGTAAAACTAGCGTGTACCAGCGACTTCGTTCGCGTCGAATTAATCATTTGTAATGGTGATGATAAAGCAAAGAAAGAATTTCCATTAACATACAAACTGGATAAAATTTTCTCACATTTATGTCAGCAGGAGAAAAAAACAATATGGCTGTATTATTATATAACTTGGTAATATTTGAGGGGTAGTTTCATCTCGTTGGAATATGACTTTCGAAAAATCCGTTTGCGAAAAATAAGCTTTTTACATCAAGCAGTTTAAGCAGAATCGTAGTTAAGAAATTACCCAACTTTTTGGAAGACCCTGTATGATTTTTTAAAAAATTTCAAAATATGTAAAAAAAACAAATAAATTATGCTTGTCCAAGCGTTTTCCCAAAAGACTAACCGTTTTTTAAATAACAAATATTGTAACATTTGAGGGGCGTTTTCACCCTCTTGGAATTTGGGATTCGAGAAACTCCTCCTTATCGAACCTCTACACCCCACAGTCAATCCGTTTGCCAAAAATCAGCTTTAAACGTCAAGCAGTTTAAGCAGAATCGTGATTGATTATTAAAGTCATATTTTATGAAACACCCTGTATAAATTTATAAAAAATCTTAAAATATGTAAAACAACAAAAATAAAATATACGTGCTTAAGAGTTTTTGCGAAAAACTCACCGGTTTTTAAATAAAATATATTTTAATATTTGAGGGATAGTTTCACCCCCTTAGAATTCGACTTTCGAAAAATTCCTTCTTATCGAACCTCTACACCCTAAAGTCAATCTGTTTTTCAAAACTCAGCTTTATACGTCAAGCGCTTTAAGCAGGATCGTGATTAATCAATGACCAGATTTTTCGAAACACCCTGTATACATTTTTAAAAAATCTTAAAATATGTAAAAAACAAAATAAAATATACGTGTTTAAGCGTTTTTTCGGAAACTTGACCGTTTTTTAAATAAAAAATATTGTAATATTTGAGGGGCGGTTTCACCCTCTTGGAACTGGAATTTCGAAAAATCCCTTCTTATCGAACCTCTACACCCTAGAATCAACCTGTATAAAATTGAGCTTCTTACGTTGAGTAGTTTAAGCAGGATCGTGATTAATCAGTATGTCAGTCACTTAAGGATTTTATATATTAGTATAGATTATATTGGAAATGTCATCGATCGTCATTTCCAAGCCAACTGGATGCCATTTTTTTTCGATCATACGGTATATAGAGGATATAATATATGAGGCACCTCTTAATATTAGTATTGAAAGCTCAAACTCAAACTTTACAAGATTTTTTTTTTCATCATCCTGATAGGTATTTTCACGGTAACTAAAAAGAAAAAAAAATATTTTTTTGGTACACCCTAAGTCCACGGAATATTGGGACACTCTGTATATACAAAAAACATATTAAACTAAAAAGTAGTATGTTCTAATCGTAAAAAAACATTATTTTCTGTCCGATATAATACACCTAGAATTCTATTGATTCACCGGTATATTTCGATTAACAATCCCAATTCAATCCAGCACAACTGATTTCGGGAATCAATCATAACCGCAGCCCATTCAAACTCATCTCGTCCCACTATATATAAATAGGAAGTTCGGCAGTCCATTAACGGCTGAATAGCAAGAAACTTAAAATTCTATTTGGAACATGAATCATATTTACACAAACACCAAAGCAGCGTCGCTCTGTTTCAGGACTGGGAAGAGAGAATATTGGAATTTTGATGTGCGGGCTTGTTCTATTGGCAATATCGCTGTGAATACGCGTCTGCAACTGTACGATTGGATAGTTTTTGCACGGCAGTCTCGCCGATGTTTGGTTCGTAGTAATGCAGCCGCTCTGTGGGGAGTACAATGGATGTAAATGTTCGTCTTTCTATTGTAAGGAGGAAATGAAACGGTTTATTAAAGTTTTGTGAAGAATTTAATGGAATGCGATTTATCGTGTTTCTCCCATCTGAAGAAATATAGAAAATATAAGTATAATAAATAGTTCAGTGTTGGTTCCCAGAAATAATTGCAAGTATTTTAACTGGTAGTATATGCAGTTCAACCCCAGAAACACGCCTATGAGGTTTTTTTCGCAAAAAATTTTTTTTTTGATAATTCGAAATGTTTTGGATTTTTTTTATAGTTTTTAGTTAAAAAACATAATTTCTTGATAATATGGCAACATAGGTATTAGATCAGATTTACAAGAAAGAAAATCCAGAAAAGATCCAGTGGTTCTTAAAATTTTAGCAAAAAATATTTTTTTTTGTATATTTTCAAAGTAAAATAACTCCGTTAATTTGGACTTGTTTGAAAAACGATAAAGAGAAAATATATGTTTCTTTTATGGAGATCTACCCTCCCTTAAAATACTTGTACTTATTTCTGGGACACCCTGTATATTAGCCGGTTTAAACGTTTTTTTCTGCGTTGTTCGATCCCAATTTCCAGCCTGTTCTATTCGTACAATCCTCTGTTGACAGGTTTCTTTCACTCATCGCTTTGTGTACGCTTTTTTGACATTCTAGTTTCGGTCTTTCCTGTTTTCTTCTGCCCTTTGGTTCCCAATTGATTATTTTCTTGTACCATCTTGTATTCTGCATTCGCTCTATATGTCCGTACCAGGTCAGCTGCTTTCTCTCTATATCCTGTGTTATCGTACCATATATACCCATTTGTTGTTTTATGGTATAAGTTTTTATTCGTTGTTCCACATACTTTAGGCTACTTAAAGGAATTACTGAACGCAAATGGTCTCGACAACAAAACTGTGAGTGAATATATTGAGCTTACATCGTTATGTATGAAACAAAATTGTTTTCAATTTAATAACAACTTTTTTGAACAGCGAGAAGGTACAGCAATGGGTAATCCATTGTCTCCATTTTTGGCTAATTTATTCATGAGCAGGTTTGAAGTGGAGGCTAAGAATCAGTTTGAGTATTTTCCAAGAGTATGGTTTAGGTATGTGGATGATATTTTTGCTGTTTTTGACACACATTCAGACACCATAGATAATTTTATTTTTAAGTTAAATAATCGTTTTCCTTCCATTAAATTTACGCATGAAATTGAGAACAACGACAGATTACCATTTCTAGATGTATTAGTTATTAGAAATACTAATAATTGCCTGGAATTTGATATCTATAGGAAAAAAGTACGACCACACGCATATACATTCCTAATGAATCACATCATAGTGTTGAACATAAAATGGCTAGTTTAAATTTCTTAGTTCATAGATTACTTAGTTTCCCACTTTCCAACGAAAGATATGAAATAGAAAGAGATTACATTAGGAATGTAGCTGAATGTAATGGATATTCTCCTTCACTAGTTGATAAATTAATTAGAAAACGTAGGTATAGGTTAATGATTTCTGAAAATTCGACTTTTCAAGTGGAGAAAGATACGTCTAAATATTTTTCGATACCGTTTGATAGAGAGTTAGCCCGTGGTCTAAAAGGAATTTTTAAGAATGTCAATTATAAACTTGTGTATAGTGCTAATAATAAATTACAACAATTATTAGGTAATCCAAAAGATAAAACACCTCCACTGGAAAGGTCGGGTATTTATGAAATTTCTTGTAAAGATTGTAATCAGAAATATGTTGGGCAAACTAGAAGATCAATATTAACTAGATTTAAAGAACATTTAGCTCAAATAAGATATGGTAGACCGGATAAATCTTGCGTTGCCGAACATATTGTTGATAATGAACATTGTATAGATCTTAATAATTTAAAATTAATTAAACAAGTCTCAAATTACAGGCAATTAGATGCATATGAAAGCATCAGAATTATTAAATGTAAAGATAGTATGAACAGAGTCAACGGTCCAATTCCTTCAAGTTCTTTGTTCCTACTACTCTAGTGGCGGAATATCAACTTTAATAAAACTAGGATAAACTGAATTGGCTTTGCATGATTTAAGAAACCAAATATCTGCTCCTAATAACTTAATCTTAGTACTAAACTTACGATAACTGGGCGAGTATATAAACGCTCAACTTGTAGATTGTACTTTAGTTTATAATCATCTGCTGATGATGCTAACATGGTTAGCGAAACGCGCGTCCAGTGTAAAAGTAAAAGTGTTTTGGTGTATTGTGGTGACTTAGTGTTTTTATTTTGCTGTGTAACACCAAAGGTTCCAACCCTCAACTGTAATATTCGTTGTTGTCTCGAAATTCCCATTGATCTTCTCAGTTATTCTCCATATTTTTGCTCCATATAGATGGTTGCTCTTTATCATGGTTTGGTTCGGTTAACTTTTAATTTTTAAATGACACCCTCGGTATTTTTTACTTTATTCGATAGAAATTAACTGTGTGGTATCAAATTATTCGTAAAAAAATGCTTTTCCCAAATGTGCTAACGAATCACCCTCGTTTCATTTGAAAAAATTGAGATATGATTAAAAATACGATTTGAGCATTTTCTAACTGGCCGGGACATGATATTAAAAACATTAGACGATAAAATATATTTTTCCAAGGCTCCTTGATTAAGAATTACTGTCTTTAACATAGCCATGGCACTCTAGATTGAATTTTAAAATACGATCTTTTATTAAGCAAGAATGTCAAAAGTTGACATATGATATGATTCTATTCAGAATGTGATTTTTTATCGAATAAAGTAAAAAAATACCGAGGATGCCATTTAAAAATCAAAAGTTGTAGTCATTTCCGGTGAAACAGGAAGTGACCAAAATCTAATTTATGTCATATACTAACGTATAAAATCTCGTTTTTTTATCTGAAAAATTAAAAAAGTTATAGGGGTGAGCCACTTTTGAGACGCACCCGGTATATATTAAATTTTCTTCGCTTTGTTATTGATTGCTCCATAAGATTGGATTTAGACATCCGATTATTTTTTTTGCGTTGATAATCCTTTTCTCTATTTCTCTGCCATCAGTTCCGGTGTTATCAAAGTAATTCCCAAGTATTCATATTCTTACACTGAATAATTTATTGACCGTTGTCCAAGTTCAAATTTCCTTCTTGTGCGTCTATACATAGATATTTTGTATTGTCTATGTTAACTGTCAAGCATGTCTCAATTTTACACTTTATATGGGTCTTGATATGAGACACATTTTTTTGCATACTGACTTTTTTAGTGGTACTTTTGATATATTTTGACTTTTACATTAGTTTCGTTACCACCAAATACCTTTTATAGAATAAATACTTTTTTATTTAAATAGTTGTAACTAAGAAAAGAATAACCTTGTATATTTTACCTAATAATCGACCGTTCCCATACACATCAAGAACCCTGTATGTGAAATTATATAGAGAATATCATCCATTATTGCTAAATCAACATTTTTTTCGATCATACGGTACTTTACTTTTATATTATAAAATATTTCTTTTAGAAAAATGTCTTTACCTTCTGTGTCGTTGGGTAACTTTATCAGTTCACCATCTTCTCTCTTCCACGTGATGGTGGGTTCTGGCGACCCAGTGGCGGCGCATCTCAGACTGACGTCAGAATTCTCGTCGATCACCATGTCCGCGCTGGTGGGGTAGTCCAAGATGTCCGGCGGCACTGAAATGGGGAGTTCTAAATTTCAATATTGATATTGTACAACTGGCAGATAAAGAAATATGTTCATTTTTATATCTACAGGGTGGCGCACCTCATTCCCCTCGGTTGATTATACAAAAACGGAAAGATGTAGAAACAAAATATTTAGTAGTGTATATGTGGGGAGGCAATGTGCACAATTTAAAATTATTTTGAAATATACAGGGTGCCTCAGAACTAAGATCCATACCAAAGTTTTATTTTTTTTTATGGAACGCTCGGTATTTTATTTCATTTCTGGATTCTTGGACCCAAAAAAAGCCATTTATTATAGAGGTTAAACATGCTTAAAATCTTTGGTTTTCGAGATATTTAAAGATATTTAAATATGCATGCTACAAAAGAATGGATTATTAACACCCCATACATTACTTTTCAGAATTAATTCTTGTGCTGAGTTTAAAGGCAAAGAAATAAACTTTACCGAAAAATATTATTGCTTCCTTAAATTATACAGGGGTACCAAAAATTGGTGATCTATTTAAAGGATTTATTTTACATAAAAACTTTGTTATTTCAAAAGCAACACCCTGTATTGTTTTAAATAAATCGAAGCAGATTCAAATGCTCTTTCAAACTATATTAGGGTTTCCTATACCTATCTGTCTCAGATTTTAAATAAAAAGCGATTTTTAAATAAAATGGCAATCAAGATGGCTGGTATCGCCATGGCAATTTTCTAGTGACAGTTAGTAACTATTTTCAAAATCGACATTAGTTTATAGATTTTATTTAAATCTATACTAGTTTACTTTTATTTAATTGACCTACAATAGTTTAATAAATATTATTTATTAATATGTATTTATTATTCTATCAAGAAAAATGAAGAAGTAGTTTTTTGTTTAATTTTACGATAATTTGTAGATATATGAATTTTTTATAAAAGAGCCAATTACGGCAAATTCAATTTCTCCACTTCCAACGACAGGTTTCTGCCTAATAGGTTTTTTAATAAACTACAATAATACCAATTCTGCGAAATAGGAAATAGGACAAGTAATTTTTCAAAGGAAAGCTTATCAGGAAGATTCCTATTTGGATATCTTTGAGCATTAGCTCTTGAGACCAAAAAATAATTTTCCTCACAAAACTAAATCACTAGTAACATATCCATTCGTTTCACCAGCAGATACATATGGGTTTATTTTTCTTCATAAAATAAAGAATACTTACTTATTAAAATATTGTGGGTAAATTTTAGTAAACTGTTTAAATAATAATGTCCATACACTAATGTCGATTTTGAAAATAGTTACTAACTGTCACTAGAAATTTGCCATGGCGATACCAACCATCTTGATTGCCATTCTATTTAAAAATCGCTTTTTATTTAAAATCTTAGATAAATAGGTATAGGAAACCCTAATATAGTTTGAAAGAGCATTTGAATCTGCTTCAATTTATTTAAAAAAATACAGGGTGTTGCATTTGAAATAACAAAGTTTTTATGTAAAATAAATCCGCAAAATAAAAACACTAAATCACCACAATACACCAAAACACTTTTACTTTTACACTGTTCATAATCATCAGTTGATGATGCTAACATGGTTAGCGAAACGCGCGTCCAGTGTAAAAGTAAAAGTGCTTTGGTGTATTGTGGTGATTTAGTGTTTTTATTTTGCTGAGTAACACCAAAGTTCCAACCCTCAACTGTAATAAAATAAATCCGTAAAATAGATCACTAATTTTTGGTACCCCTGTATAAATTTAAGGAAACAATAACATTTTTCAGTAAAGTTTATTTCTCTACCTTTAAACTCAGCACAGGAATTAATTCTGAAAAGTAATGTACAGGGTGTTGATAATCAATTCTCTTGTACCATGCATATTTAAATATCTTTAAATATCTCAAAAACCAATGATTTTAAACATATTTAACCCTTCTAATAAATGCCCTTTTTTGGGCCCAAGAATCCAAAAATGAAATAAAATACCGGGTGTTCCATAAGAAAAAATATAACGTTCTGAGACACCCTGTATATTTCAAAATAATTTTAAATTGTGCACATTGCCTCCCCACATATACCCATAAAATATTTTGTTTCTACATCTTTCCGTTTTCGTATAATCAACCGAGGCGAATGAGGTGCGCCACCCTGTATATGTGTTTGATTTTGTTAGTATTTATTTTTTGTTTCCTTTGTTTACGATTTTGTGTAAGGTTAACTTATTCTTGGTCTTTGGTCTGCTGTTAATAATACAATTTAATTAGAATTTAGGATAATCTTTACTAGTATTCCGACGTTTCGAAATTCCGACGTTTTCCGAACTTATTTACTTAAAGAGAAAACTATCTCAGACATTGTATATTTTAAATGTAAACTGATTTCTGAATATCAATATTGATATTGTACAACTTGGCGACTTGAAGGGGAGTTATTAATTATTCTTGCGTGTTTGTTTCCATTAGTATTGTGTATTGTTTGGGTTCGGTAATATGTATTGAGCGTTTATTTGTATTTAACTTTGATAATAATGTTGGCATGCATTAATGATATCCGTGTGTATCTTTGCCCGATTTTGATGGAATGTTTTACCAAATATTCAAGGTAAACTTCGGAAAAAGAAATTAATACAAAGAAAGAATTATTTTACTTTATTTATTATATTTACTACATCAAGAAACATATACGCTTTAAAACTAAATATTAAATAGCTTAAAAACAATTTATTTTAGGTAAAAAGTATCGAATTGAAAAGTGAGTTTCCATTTGAAAAAAAATATATTTTTGAGAATTTTTAATCGTTCAATTCCATGGCAGCTACCGCCATTATTATATGATATTTGAACAATTAATTTTTGAAATAGATACCCACATATCTTCTCTTTATGGTACAGTGGCTGTGGCAATCACTAAATTTGATTTATAGGCTACAGAAATTATTTTCAGGCTATAGAAAGGCAGCTTTTTGTCCAAACATTTTAATTTTTTTTTTTCTCAAAAACGGTTAATGTTATGATGCGTCCAGACCTGAGGAGTCGATTGCGAGACGAGCGCGAGACAGGAGCTAGACAAGAGCGAGGCAAGAGCAAGACGAGTGCGAGACGAGAGCAAGACATTTTCTATCCATTTTTTGACGCAAGCCGGCCGCGAGACAAGCGAGTTGGATCATAGTGAAAGGTGACCGGTTTGTGTAAGCATGTCCGATCAAAAACCTGCAGCAAATAATAACGCATAAGTAATAAATTTTTGTATCTTTAACATCATATTTGGTTTGTCGTATTTTATTCATTACCCTTCTTAAATAAATAATTTGTAAATTCTATTAAAAAAAAATATAAAACACATACGAAAAAATATATAATAATATAATAATATCCATTTCAAAAATTTGAGATTATTTAATTTTAAAGAGTCGAAATTCATAAATATATGTTGAACACACTGTAGCATGTAACTCAAGTGTCTTTACCTATATCTTTTTCTTCGTCCCTATAAAACTATCCTTAACAAATTTTAGAACTCCAATTTCAGAAACAATGGCATGACTGACAATTTTTTACGACACTGAAATCTAATATTTTTTATTTAATCAAATTAAAATATAAAAACTAAAATTTTAAGAGTATACCGTTTTAGGTACATATATAACATTATACCTGGCATTATACATAAAAAAGTTATAAAATGTTACGCAGAATCTAAAAATAAAATAAAAAGTAGATATGTTATATCCGACACATGATATATCCGTAACACTATTTTGAACCAACCTGTATACTCTATAATAATTTTAAAATGTGTATCTTAACTTTCTCTACAGTTTTTCTATTTTTTTAATAATTCTTAAACACTTTTTAATAATTCTCTTTTATATTCTTCCCAAGGTTGTATTCATCGATTGTGAAATATCTACCCACGCATCGTGTTTATTGTTTTTTTTAATATTCTTTATCTTTTGGATTTTTTATATTGGTTTTGCTTTATATAAATCGATGAATTTCAGCTGATCTTTTTCCGTCCAAGTCTCCATTTCAATATGCACTAATATCATAGCTAATATCTCGCAGTCGAGCGAGCCTACCAAAAAGACGTCCAGACTTGGCCGCGAGCTTTCTTTGATCGGCCGTCGAAAAACCGACAGGGGACGGATAGCAACGGGGCTCCGTGGGTTGTCTCGCGAGACGGTCGCGAGGCTCTTGCGCGACCCCCCCACCCTTTGAAAAACACCGCAAATTTGGAATGTCTCGCGCTCGTCTCGCACTCGTCTCTTCAGGTCTGGACGCACCATTAGATATAAATTGTAACTTTACAGAGAATTTAAGTATGTAATAAAAATAGAGGCACTTATTTAAAATAAGAAAGTTGCTGTCAACTTCCGGTATTTACCGGAAGTGCTGTCATATTGAAAATATTTTTAATCGATAGATCTCATTGTGAAACAATGATGTGCAAAAAATTCCCGATCTAGCTATTGTAGTTCTCCAGAAACTTTTAATACGCGTTCAGCCTGGGACAACCTGTATAAAATCATGGAGCTTAAAAACAAAGCTCTCTTAACTATTTTACGTAACGTAATTTAGAAAATGTGTATAAAATAAGTTTGTATAACCGACGAGCGAATTCTGCAATTCTTAAATTTCCTTAAAAGCCAGTTTAATATTACTTCCCATCCTAGATAATTGAAAAACTCGATGCATTCCGCCTGCATTTCATCAATTTTAACTCTAATCCGTTTTGCCATAAGTTAATATTTAAAGTGCATAAAAATGCTAAAACGGTTTTTACAGCTCGGTCAAATTTACATACTTATTTCCCTTATTTTTAACGCTACTGCGCAAAAGAAAACAAATTCCGAAATTTGTTGGCTAGAAATTAAAATATTTCTTTTGCAAATTAAAATTTTCGATAGATTAATTTTTTTCTTTCTCTTTTCATTTTGAATATATTTTTTTCATTTTTGTATCGCCTAGGTCATTCTTATTGAGTCGGAGTGAAAAAAATGCGACGGTG